AATACAAAAATCTGACACAGGGCAATGTTGTTGAAACAGCGGTTCTTGTATAATTAGATTTAATGGAAAAAATGAAGACACTTCATCAATGTTATTATTATTATTATTATTATTATTATTATTATTATTATTATTATTACGGAGTGCCTCTTTCGGAGTACATTCAAACTGTATAGACGCTCGAAACCCCTCAAAAAGCGAAAGTCGAGCTGTGACTAATAGTTTCTACTCACAGAATGATGGGCACGCAGGTTTTGTTATGCAACAACAACAAAAACAGCAACAGCAGAGCCGCGCATGCATCCTCAGTGCGCTGCTCTGCCCCCGTCCCGCGAGGCCCGGCCCCGGCCCCATTCCGCGCGCTGCTCAGGTAAGCGCACACCTGCAGTTTCAGGGCGGCCCCTCTATGACGTCACAGCACCGCTATTTATAAGCTCGGAACAGGTGTCAGCTCACTCGGAGACGCGCTTCGCTGGAGCCGCGGATATACAGCCGCTGTGGGAGAGGATACTGAAAATCTGGATTTCGCATAAAAGGATATTTCTGTTTTCCGGAGAAATTATAACGATTTATAAGGGTAAACTGAGGTTTACTGCGTACCGACTTCTGACACTGCACCCACACCGGTTGGACTAGTTGAGAAATACCTGCGCGGAGGAAAGGAACTTCTCCGCTGGATTTTTCTTTTCATTGCTTTATAGTATAGACCCACAGATTTACCATGAAGTCGCTGGTTTTGCTGATTGTCGTCGCGTTTGCGGTGGGAGCTTCAGCCCAGTGTAGTAAGTGTTTTGGTTGCGCTTATTATATTTTGTGTGTATGTAATGTATTGGCGGTGACGGTTTGTTTGTTGCAGTGTATAGTTCTTCCCAAACGTCTCTCGGAGCTCCCACAGTTGAGACAAAGGGCTCCCGGCCGCGCGGTAACTCCCCATGTCGATGTACCAACGCCCATGGATACCTGATCTCAGAAGTTCCCTAGGGCGTTATGCGGGTGCGCGCACACGCGCGCCCCCTTGCGCCTCCCCGCAGGTCGTGGCCGTGGATAACCATGCTGACCACGTGCTTCTCTTCTTAGATCCATGCAGCACCATGAAATGGGCAACTTGTGATGGCACCAATTGCCAGTGCGTCCTCAGAGTTTCCTCTGATGGCCCTGGTATTCCTCTGAATTGTTCGGCCTGTGAGTTACCTTGATTTGGTTGCTGTTTTTCTGAGACTTTGTAACATTGGAGTTCAATGTCAGCTTGTAGTTAACACTGATTTTCCTCTGAGGACCATGTCTTCTGCATGTCGTGACAGTGATACCAAAGTGCTTCCTGATGAAGGCTGAGATGTACAGGGCCAGGACTGGCCAGTCTACGCGCTCTTCTGGCAAGCCGACGGAGCACGCCTTCGTGGACAACGATGGCATCTATGATCCGGATTGTGAGGCTAATGGCCGCTTCAAGGCCAAGCAGTGCAACAACACCAACGAATGCTGGTGTGTCAACAGTGCAGGAGTGAGGCGTACCGACAAGGGTGATAAGGACAGCATAAAGTGTGAAGAGCTGGTGGAAACCATGTGAGTGTCTTCACACTGCAGCTGTGCTGTGGTCTCTTAGCCATTTAGTGTTAAACTTCTATATCTTATGATAAAGTGAATCTTCTGAATCTTCTCTGGTCTCTCGCCAGCTGGGTGCGTTTGCAGCTGAAACACAAGCCCACTGGTGCACCAGTGGATCCAACTGCACTGAGACAGTATGTCTGACAGCCCTCTAACCTTCCTAACAATGTCTTCTGAACTTTGGTAAATGGACTAATCACCTTCTGCTTATAGGGCCATTGGAGATGCTATTAGCAAACGCTATGGTGTGGATGGCAAGCTGGTGAACAATACCGAGGTATTTGTCCTACATGGTCCATACAGTCCTGCTATGGACATATACGCCACCTCTCCAGGAAGTGTTTTGCTGATATCTTGCATTGACATTTGCATGGGGAAATCTAATGCAAACTTTTTGTGTGACAGTATGACAAGGATGCCCGTCTCATCATGGTGGATGTGGTGAAGCCGAAGACCGACCGGACCACTGACCTGTCGCGTGCCGCCTACTACATGGAGAAGGATGTAAGCACAGAACTTCTGCTTTGAGTATTTCTCTATTACCATCAGGACTAACGGTTGGTCTGATCCGGTACAACAAGTGCACCTGATTAGCCTAAATGGCTGCCGTGTTTCAATGAAGTTCCAGTAGAGTGGGACAATGTTTCTTATGCGTCATGTGCAGGACTTGTTTCTTCCCTGTTCCAGGTTAAAATCCTGCCCCTCTTCACGGGTGAGGCTAAATTCCTGCCGACTGTTGGCAGTCAGACTCTGGACTTCGAGGATATCGTGGTTTACTACGTGGATGAGAAGCCCCCCACCTTCACCATGAAGAGGCTGACTGGTGGTGTCATCGCCGTCATCGTGGTGGTCATCCTTGCTGTTGCAGCTGGCTTGCTTGTTCTGGTGAGTCTCTGCTAGAGCCTGGAAGTGTAACGGTTGCATTATGTTGACCAAGAAATGGATGTAGATGTTTCAAGTCAAGCACTTCCTAAACGATGCTTTGTTTTCAGTTCTTTGCCAGGAGACGGAACCGTGCCCGATATGAGAAGACGCAGGTTAGTCCCTGACCACATGATGCCAACTTTTGTGATGTGATCAATTCTGAAAGTGTGACTTCTCTGAGGGCTTTGGACTAATGTTTCTCAATTCCTTATAGCCCAGAGAGATGGATGAGATGCAGTAGTCAGATGGCACCTGTACCCGGACCTGAAGGAAGGGCAGTCCTGTTGGACATACCTTGACCTTGTGCCCATACGACCTTATTTGAAAGCTAACATGGGACAGCTCACCTGATTTGTCACGTGCATTTTGGTGCACTTTTTTGTGTTTTAATAATTTTATTTTTTAGGCCTGTGTACTTACCTGTTTGGACAGGCTTGTAAATGCCTGGGTGAGAGGGATTCCTGATGTAACTTGTAATGCAGGTTTTAAATGTGCATCCATATGCAAGATGGTGAATTTTGTAATAAAAATTTTTTTTAAACTACTTCGGTTGTCTGATTTCATCCATCGACGTCAGCTGGTAAATTTAAAAGGGAATGAAATCTGCCTTTCAATCTTCACATCTAATATTAACAATATCCTGCCATATGTCACATGACCTGGATGTTCAGCATTTTCTCCCGTTGACTTTAAATGCAGTATAATCAGCAGAATTGGTGATCTGCCAATTGTACAAAAAAAAACAAACCACTATGGGCATGCGAACATCAGACTTGCTTACTGCGGCGTACATTCAGTAATGCACAAGGAATTTCCCTGGAAGAACAGCTTGACAGAATAAGGGTGACTGCTGTGTAACTGCAAGCATACAGCAGTGCTGGTAAATGCATGGAGCTGTGGGAAGTTTGGAAATGTGCAAGTAGAGTGTGATGGCAAGCAGATGTGCCCTTTAACAGGTAAAACGAAGATGAGCCACCCCCCTAAACACACAAAGTACAACCACAATATTGGCTGCGACCAAGTTTGCCCCAACCCCCCACCCCTCTAAACACATGGTACTTCCACAGTATTGGTCGGGACCAACCCCTACCATTCATGCCCTTGCAGTGATGTTTTGTCCCACTTGAAGTCTTTTGAGATAGTAGGTAAGGAATTTAAATGATGCCACATAACCATATATATCCAGAAATATATAAAATCGGTACTGCTTTCTATCGTTAACCATTATTACAGTTCTTTTTTTTTTTTTCTTATTTAGAGGTATATATAATTACATTACAGTATAACAATGTATGACAAAATATAATCAGAACCAGTAAGACATAAACAGTGAACTATAAATAACCGATTAACTACAAGTAAAAAAAAAAGGACAAATGTAAAAAGAAAATTTATGTAACATTCATTAAATCATTGTATAATTTCACAAGTTTGGCACTTTTTCTGTTATTAACATTTCTAAGCGTTGTAATTATGTATTTGAAATCACAGAGAAAATTATATAATTTTGGGAGTATTGATGAAAATTTACATTTATGAATGTAATATTTTCCCAATAAAATATATACATTTCCTATATATTCAATGTTGTATTTACCATCAGAAAAGTAACAAAATATATCGCACATAGTAAAATTAATAGGTTCATTAGGTTTCGAAGAAAATAATTTAGATAAATCAATCCAAAAAGTTTTAACAAGGGGACATTCAAAAAACAAATGAACAATGGATTCAATACTGACATTACAGAAATTCCATTATTACAGTTCTGAGATTTTAAAATTCCAGGGTATGACGTCAACAGCATTTCCTGGTTTACTGCAGGGGACCATTACAGCCAATGATTGTGCTGCTTCTAATTTCCTGCATAAGTAAACCGCCAGAATAGGTATTGGGACAGGAACCTGCGTATTTAAATAAGCATTTTTTACTTTTGAAACCACAGCGCTATCCGAGTTTAAAATACGCACGCGCGACTGTTCTTCTGCGCGCGATTACCATGGCGACGTATCCATTTCCCCTTTGACCTTTCGCACGCGCTGTGGCGGGAGATTCCAGCATGGCGGTGCAGCCGAAACAGACCCTGTCCATGGACAGTGCCGCTGAACAAGGATTCCTGAGTTTTTACTTTTCTATGCCCGAGAAGCCTGACACCACGGTCAGGGTATTTGATCGTAATGATTACTATACGGTGCACGGAAAAGATGCTGTCTTTGCAGCAAAAGAAGTATTCAAGACCAATGGAGTTATTAAAAGCCTCGGATCAGGTAACACTGGGTCGCTATCGCTGAATTAAGCCTTCTTCATCTTCTTCGCTAGTTCAAAATACACTTGGTAGGTGGATAACTGTATGTAAGAAGCTCCGACAGTGTTACTGTAGGTGTTACTATTTCAAAATATTTTGTAAAGCAATCGTACAGTAAACTTACGCACATGAAGCAGAATAACCTCGTATTTGCTCATTTTAACATGGTAACAGGAATTTAGTGATTCCCATTAATAATTGTATCTGCGATGCTTAATGTTTGTACGTAATGTATGTAAGTGATATTATTCGGGATATGGTACTGTAAAAACCATGTTACATTACAGCATCTATTACTTATAAGTGTCACTTTTTTGCCAGTTCGTTTTTGTCTTTTTTGTTGAATTGAAGTTTGCTCAGGTTGTATGTATTGCATGTATCTTAAAATAGCTTGTTAATCGTGAGAAATTAGAATTTTAATGTATGGCTTAATGAGGGAGGAAAAGCGAAATCTGAAATGAGCTCTTCTCGTCAATAACAAATAAAATGGGTAATGAGCATGCGCATAACAAGTTATAATTGCTCAGGCAATTATTGTTTAGGGGCGAAAGTGGTTCCGACCGCATTTCAGCGGCGACAATGGGCACAAAGTCGCGGTAAAGAACGTAATTTCTCAGTTGTCTCACTGTAGTTAACGATGGCTGAACGTTTCAAGGACTGTGTCTCTCTGTCCAGGAGCCAGGCGCTTGGAGAGTGTGGTCCTCAGCAAGATGAACTTTGAGTCTTTTGTGCGGGACCTGCTACTGGTGAGGCAGTACAGAGTGGAGGTGTACAGGAACAAGAGCAAGAGCAGCAAAGATCACGACTGGCAGCTGGCCTACAAGGTGCGAGGCTGCTTGGCCGCCAGCGGGGGTGCTGTGTGTGGAATCGGTCCCCATCCCGTCGTCCACTTCGGCCGCCACGTCCTTCTCTGAGCTGCGTTGGGCCGTTTTTGTCTCTGACGTCCTGCTCTTCTCCTCTGGCCCACCATCTCCGTGAGCCTGTCTCTCCATGCCCTCTTCCTGTTTAACGTCCAGGTTTGCCAGGGTCTGCTTCCCAGTCCTCGCATCACAGAGAGACTGCAGAGCACGTTGTTTGACCCGCTGATTAAGCTGGTTTTTAGTTTACAAAGGACTGTGCAATATAAGACTAAGTGAGCAATAAAGGAGCAGTAAGTAGGTGATGCAATGGGGAGCAAGGCTGTGCAAACAATCACAGAGGCAGGTGCAGCAGAATGCAGTGCTGTGCAGTGCTATACAGTGCAGTGCTGTGGGTGGACAGATGCAGGTTGTTGGTTATTTAGGGACCTTGAGGGAAGCTTTCCCTAATTGGCTGCTGCAGGGCGCACAGGGAGCAGTGGTGTGATGAGAGCACAGGGAGCAGTGGTATGATGAGAGCACAGGGAGCAGTGGTGTGATGAGAGCACAGGGAGCAGTGATATGATGAGAGCACAGGCATTCTGGGAGATGGGCTCGGCCCTCTTCTGGCAGCGGAAGTGGCTGCAGTCAGAGGCCTAGTGAATTTGACCTGAACCCTCGTTCTCGTTCCTTGGCTAATTAGCTGCCTTTTTCGCCCCCTTTCTCTGCAGGCGTCTCCTGGGAACCTCACACAGTTTGAGGAGGTGCTGTTTGGCGGGGCAGGTGGCTCGGGGGCCGGGGCTGGGGTGGTGGGTGTGCGCCTGGGCTCCGATGACGGGCAGCGCGTGGTGGGCGTGGGCTACGTGGACTCCACCCTCCGGAAGTTGGGTGTCTGCGAGTTCCCAGACAATGACCAATTCTCCAACCTGGAGGCCCTGCTGGTGCAGATCGGGCCGAAGGAGTGCGTGCTGCCAGCAGGGGACGCAACTGGTGATATGGCCAAGCTCAGACAGGTATCACACGCACACACACACACACTGGGTCCCCCATGTGACGCTATGCTAACGTGACGCTATGCTAACGTGACGCTATGCTAACGTGACGCTATGCTAACGTGACGCTAAGCCAATGCCATGTCTGCCAGGTGGTGCAGCGGGGCGGCATCCTGGTATCGGACAGGAAGAAGGTGGAGTTCACCACCAAGGATGTGGTGCAGGACCTGGACCGTCTGCTGCAGGCCCGCAAAGGGGAGACCGTGTCCAGCGCCGCCCTGCCGGAGATGGAAAAGCAGGTGAGCCTGGGGCAGGGGGTGCAGTGTGGGGACGCTGAGCGCAGTAGGGAGGCGGTGCCTCTGAGGACCCTAACAGCCGCGGTGCTCCGCGCAGGTCGCCATGTCTGCCCTGGCCGCCGTCATCCGCTACCTGGAGCTCCTCTCGGACGAGGCCGGCTTCGGCTCCTTCAGGCTGACGGCCTTCGACCTCGGCCGGTACATGCGGCTGGACAACGCTGCCGTGCAGGCTCTCAATCTCTTCCAGGTCAGAGGTCGCGGCCGGCCCTCTCGCGTGTCGGGGCGGGGCTCGCTTTCTGTTCGGCGGGTGATTCGTGTCGGAGCCGTTTCTCGGGCAGCCAGCGGTAATATGAGCACGAACCCTCACGCATGTTTTTCGCGGATTTATCCCCCAGACCATTCAGGACACCTTATGGCTAAACGCACAAGCCAGAAATATACTGGTATTGCCAACTAAAGAACATGTATTAAATAAATCAAAATATGAAGTGTACATTTACTTATAGGCATCTGTCGCCTTTTCTTACTTCTCTAAACTCTCTCTGGTGTTTTTTATGTTATCCGAGAGTTACAGCAGTACGTATGCAGAGCAGGATCTGCCCAGTGTGTGTGGGAAAGCAGGGCCTCTCTGTCCGGTCCGGCGTTTAACGGTCACACATCCTCCCCCAGGCCTCCCCGGATGACAGCGCAGGAACGCACTCGCTGGCTGGGCTCCTCAACAGGTGCCGCACGCCCCAGGGGCAGCGGCTGCTTAACCAGTGGCTGAAACAGCCTCTCGTGGACAAGAACAAGATCGAAGAGAGGTGAGTGGGTGGGGCATTGGCTGTGGGGGTGTGGCTTAACTGGGCTCTGGGGGTCATGGGCGGGGCTTATCGAGGCACAGGGGGTCGTGCTGCCTTGCACGCTCAAACTTGCACACAGCAATCCTGAAGGCAACCAAAAGCACCATCTATCGTGTCAGGAAATGCATAGATGGTGTTTTAGGAAGAATGTAAACGGTACAGCTGAATTGCGTCAGCATTTCCTGTGCAAATGGGTCATCATTAATGTCACTGTGTTCCCTTGCCTGCCAGCCAAACACAGATACTGCACTGTGCCATTTACCAGCCATAAGTAGCTCTGACGGAATTGTCTTTTAACCATTGTTTGTGAAATAATGTGTATTTACAGGAGTGTAAAATGCCCGTTTGTCCAAAGTGTTCAGAACAGATAAACTGATGTTTCTGTGACACTTTACAGGATTAAATGTTTATTTTACTTGATCATAGAAGCCAAATCTTGAGTGATTATTGCGACTGTTTCATGAGTTCTGGTTAAGGGCTTTCCCCAACGGCACTGTGACAGGTTTCGAACCAGCGACCTTCCGATCGTAGGCGCTCAGGCCTAGCCCTAACCCACTGAGCCGCACACCCCCCCCGTCCGTTTTGTGCCGTGTGAGTGTGGCGTTCCCCCAGCGATTTGAATCGGGTTTCTGTTGAACTTGGTTTTGGCTCCTCCTGGGGGTGTGGCCTGTCACCATGGAGACGGGTGTGCCTCGCTCCATTCGCTGCCCGCTGTGGCCAGGTGTGCTATTATATTTCAGCCAAACAAAAAGCCCTTTTTTTCCTGTGAATTCAGGCTCTTTGCTTTTTCATGTGTAACCGGTCATGCCGCTTTTGGCTAATGTTCAGCTAGCGCTCTCGCTGCTAACTGGCCGCGTGGCCCTCGGTGGCCCTGGGTACGGGGGGCCCGCTAACTGGCCGCGTGGCCCTCGGTACGGGGGGCCCGCTAACTGGCCGCGTGGCCCTCGGTACGGGGGGCCCGCTAACTGGCCGCGTGGCCCTCGGTACGGGGAGCCGCTTGCCTGCTGCGCTGAATGTCGGCCTTGTTCAGCAGCCCCCTGGGATCCCCGAAGCTTTGTTCAGTCTGCTGTACGACGGCAAAAACAAACTGTTGTTGGCTCCGGGCTACTTCTGGAGAATGTGATGTCATTCCCCCCCTGCCTTGCTCTTGAATCTCTGCCCAGTGACGTTGCAGTGATGATTGTATCGGTTAAGCAGTAGAGCGGAGCCGAGATGCCACCCCCTTTACTCTGTCACGCTGTCCTGTATGTTTTATCCGGCAAAAATCTCAGTGCACGGCATTTCCTGCCGAAACCGGTCCTGGCCAGCAAAGGCCTTTGTCCCAAACCCCCAGCACCCGGCTGGAATGAAGGCGTGGCGCTGTCTGTCCCGGTCTGGAGCTCCGATTGTCACACTGGAGCCTGAATTGTGAATTTTTTGGGGGGGGGGTGGTTGTCTCTGTGGTTTTGTTTTCTTTACTAACTGCCATATTTGGACAGGATCAGATTCCATGTCTGCTCCTTCCCTCTGTTCCCCTGTTCCTCTTTTCCCCTGTTCCTCTTTTCCCCTGTTCCCCTGTTCCTCTGTTCCTCTGTTCCCCTGTTCCTTTCTTTTGCCTGGTTTACAGAGAACTACAGCCTTTTGTTTGTGTTTTTCTTTTTTTTCCCCATCATCGTTTAAGATCCTTTAATAAAGTGTCTGTTTTTGTGTGTGAAATGCCTGCTTACCTGATGACAAATCCCACGCCCGCCCCCAGCCCTCCCTCCCTCCCTCCCTCCGCGAATTCGCCCCGAGGCCGTCTCAGACCTGCCGGGCCCCACCCCGCATGTAGGCCTGCCAGAGAGCTTGGGCGTGTCCCCAGCACATGCCTGAGTATCTCTCGGCTAATTCATGCGTACTGGCCGTGCGGCCTTCATCACATGACTCACACAGGTCAGCCCGGTGGGGGCTTTTGTGGCAAGTGCTGGGTTTCGGGGGGTGTGGACATACAGCTGCTTCTCGCTTGTGTCTCTTGTTCGCTTCCCCTCCTCAAAATGACCAGATGACCAGGAGGCAGTGATCTGTCCGCGGTTCCTCTCCTTCCCCCTAACAGCCATGTTTCTATGGTGTGGTCCAGTCTGGCCTCACCCTTACTACTCTTTTTATTCTTTAATTTTTTTGCCCCCCCGGAGGGTGTGGTGAGTTATCTGGGCTTTCCGATCATTAAGCAAAGCCCTTTGCAGGGTAACCTATTAGTCCTCACACTGCCAGTCACTTATTATGTTGTGGAAACTGTGAGAAGCTGGAATTCCTGAGCGCGTCCCAGAATGCCGAGGGGCCGTCACTGACCGAGTGTCAGGTGACCTCCACTGCTGCCTCTGTCCGGCTTCTGCCCGCGGTGCATCGTGGGATTGTTTGGGGGGGGGGAGGGGGATAAACTGAACCAGCCAAGCAGCTTTTTGAAGCCTGGGGGTGAGGGGAGTGTGTTTTGTTTGAGAGAGGTGGGGGGGGGGGGGGGCGGGGGGTGCGGGGCAGGGGGCACGGGGTGCAGGGAACCGGCCGCACCATCTGCTTTGGGGGGGCTTGGCACGTCTTTGAAACACCCACTTTTACACTGCAGATAACAAGGGGCATTGTGGGTAACTTACAGGTAACTCGCCTCACCTTCAGCAGACAGGGTTTGGTTCATTTACGGATTTAATTATTCATCGGGAAATGGTCAGACTGGTGGCCGAGTCAGACGGAGCTGCAAAGTTAAACCGTTTTCTGTGTCTCTCTCCCTCTCTCTCTCTCTCTCTTTCTCCCTCCCTCCAGCTCGGCCACAGAAGACTCCCTCATCATCATCGACGAGCTGGGCAGAGGAACCTCCACCTACGACGGCTTCGGCCTGGCCTGGGCCATCTCCGAGTTCATCGCCACTCGCTGCCGCTCCTTCTGCCTGTTCGCCACGCACTTCCACGAGCTGACGGCCCTCAGCCAGCAGGTGGCGACCGTGAGCAACCTGCATGTGACCGCGCTGACCGCCGAGCGCACGCTCACCATGCTCTACAGGGTGCAGAAAGGTGCGTGGGGGCGGGGTCACCTCGCTCGCTCACGCGCATGTGAACCGGGCCCCGCCGGGGCCTCCTGAGTAATAATAGCTGATAGTGTGGCCCCTGTCCCTGTGTCACGCACACACTCTGCCTGCGCACCAGGAGTGTGTGACCAGAGCTTCGGGATCCACGTGGCCGAGCTGGCCAGCTTCCCCAAGCACGTGATCGCCGGCGCGCGGCAGAAAGCCCTGGAGCTGGAGGAGTTCCAGGACGTGGGCCGGGGGGGCGAGGACGGGCGGGACGGGGCCCCCGACGCCAAGAGGAGCCGATCAGACAGACAGGTAGGGGGCGCCGCTGAGCCAGGGGCTTCACGCTCTCCACACAGAAGGTCCTCCTGTAGGATCTGGGCCTAGAGCAGGCGGCTCTTCTACACGCCTGGAGCTGCTTCCTCTGCGTGCTGCAGTGCAGCTGTCACTGTCAGATGCTGCTGTCTGAGCCACATCCAAGGCAGGACCCAGACTGCAGGACCCAGACTGCCCGGCACAGACAGCCAGTGGGCTTCCGCAGGCAGCCGCAGCATCACTGTCTGTAAACGGCCCCTTCCTGAGTCCCGCCCCCTTCCTGAGTCCCGCCCCCTTCCTGAGTCCCGCCCCCTTCCTGAGTCCCGCCCCCTTCCTGAGTCCCGCCCCCTTCCTTCCAGCACTTGACCTGACCTGTAGCGGGTTTCCGGCTGCAGTAGTTATGATGTCCACTGTATAACAGCGCCACCTACCTGCTGGGCCGATAAACAAGCATCCCGTTTACTTTTCCTGAAGGAGGGAGAGAAGATCATCCAGGATTTCCTCACCAAGGTGAAAACTCTCGCTGCCCGCGGCATGTCTGACCAGGACATCAAGGAGGAGCTGAAGAAGCTGAAGGCGGAGGTCCTGCTCAAGGAGAACAGCTTTGTGGAGGAGATGGTGTCCAGAACAACAGCCTCTGTCTGAAAGGGAGGCAGCGAGTCCAGGAGCAAAGCGCTGCGTCCAATAGCTGTGCTTCTGGAGCTGCGGCCAATAGCTGTGCTTCTGGAGCTGCGGCCAATAGCTGTGCTTCTGGAGCTGCGGCCAATAGTTGTGCTTCTGGAGCTGCGGCCAATAGCTGTGCTTCTGGAGCTGCGGCCAATAGCTGTGCTTCTGGAGCTGCGGCCAATAGCTGTGCTTCTGAGGCTGCGGCCAATAGCTGTGCTTCTGGAGCTGTGGCCAATAGCTGTGTTTCCTGTGCTGCCTCAGGATTGGTCAGAGCTTCACTTCAGTTTTAGCCAAAATAGTGGCTTCAGTCAGTCTCACCTGCT